TAATTTCATTATTATAAATGACTTGCAGACAGCTGTGTGAATTTCAGGCCTATGGGGGATAAGTTAGGGTGGGAGCAGCTGGTGGGTGGGGAGGGGGCTTTAGAATCACTTGAACCACACTGCTAAAAAGCTCTAGGGCCTGCCAGGTCTTTCAGTGATTAAAAAAACCTAACAAGCTTTCTCTTCTCTTTCTTCCTCTCTCCTTCCTTTCTTCCTTCCTAATGGAGATGAGGTCTCACTATGTTGAACAGGCTGGTCTGAAACTCCTGGCCTCAAGCCATCCTCCTACCTTGGCCTCCAAAAGTGCTGGAATTACTGGGATTATACGTAGGAGCCACCTTGCCCAGCACCCAACGCGCGTTCTAAGACCAGCCCTTCCTTTCTCAGGCAGCCAAAGGAACATTTGTTAAGCAAGGCACGGCCAGCACTGCTGTTGTTGGTTTATAAGGGGATTACAGAAGGCGGTCTCTATCTTTGGGAAGTGCCCCATTCAACAGCAGGGGTGGGTCATCTCCGTCCCAGCTCTGGTTCTATTTCTGAGAGTTCTTCTAACCTGTCCTCTTCCTTCTCCCTCTCCCCTGCTGCCTCCCTGTCCCCTCCTTACACCCACCCTTTGGATCAAGGTCAGTTCCTCATCTCAGCAAGCTCTCTTAAGTCTGCCATAGCCAGGCGCAGTGGCTGACGTCTGTAATCCCAGCACCTTGGGAGGCTGAGGCGGGCGGATCACGAGGTCAAGAGATAGAGACCATTCTGGCCAACATGGTGAAACCCCATCTCTACTAAAATACAGAAAATTAGCCAGGCACGGTGGTATGTGCCTGTAGTCCCAGCTACTTGGGAGGCTGAGGCAGGGGAATTGCTTGAACACCCAGGAGGCAGAGGTTGCGGTGAACAAAGATCGCGCCACTGCACTCGAGCCTGGTGACAGAGCGAGACTCCATCTCAAATAAAGAAAAAAAAAAAGTCTGCCATAACCTCGGCCCCAGGCTGGGCCCCTCCCATCTCCTGCCTAGACAACCCCCCCCACCCTCGCCGCCCACACCGTTTCCCGGCTTGTGCTGTCCTCCAATGCCTTCCACTGAAGCGGCCAGAGGGAGGTGTCCACTCCTGATTCAAGCCCTTCCTTAGCTCCTCATGGCCTGGGTGGAGTCCAGCCTCCCAGGGCAAGGATTCAGGGCTTCCTGGGACTGGCCCCGGCCTCTTCCTTTGTGTCCTGGGTTGCACCTGTGCCTTGGAAGCCGAGGCCCTGGACAACTGAAGGAGCTTCCTGGAGGCTGCGTGGGCTGGAGCGTGAGCCCCAGGCTGGGCTGGGCGGTGCCTGCCTGAGCTGCAGAGGTCTGGCCTGGATACCTGCTCCTCCCACCCCTGGTTTTCTGCCTCCCGTCACTTTCCAGCTCTTCCTTCTACCACCCCCTCAGACCAAGCATCATCAAACACAGACTGTCCAGGCAGAAAGGGCCCCTCCCTGTCACTGTTCCTGTAGGGAAACTGCTCAAGGTCACAGAGCAGGTCAGAGGCTGCCAGGCTGGGACGAGAACACCCAGATCAAGACTCTTTTCTGCGCTTCAGGGAAGGCCAGGCAGGGTCTCCACAGCACTAGAGGGAGGAAGGTGAGGTGTGTGCCCTCCTCGGGTCACGCCTTGGAGACGGCTGGTCTCCTGGCTGCCCTCCGCCGAGCCTCCCTTCTCTACGTGCGGTGCTTCGGTTCCTGGCTATGCTGTGTGCCTGTTTTGCCGTGAGGCCCCAGTGCCTGTGGTTGGATCATTAATTCTGGAGTGGGTGGGAGGTGCAAAAGGGACCCAGTTTAGAAAAAAATGGGCTTGATAGGAAGGCCATAATCTGCCACCTGCTGGCTAGATGCAACTTTCTACAAACTCCTCCTGGTCTTTGAATCTTGCTGTCATCACTGTGACCTTGAAATACAAGATCTCTGCTCAGTGTCCCTCCCTCCCTCCTCCCACTCGAGGCCCACCGTCTTTCCCTGTTCCCATGTCCCCTTCGCTGGATCCGCTCACCTGATTCACACCAGCACCCCAATCCCGGGGGATTTGCACATGGAGATGGCTCTGGGAAGGGCAGTGCTTAACCCAAAGAAACTGTGTGCTAATGGGGGGATTCTGGGAAGTGTGACAAGCCAGATGCAAGGGAGGGGCTCTGGGACAGGAGCTTGCTAAGACTCCTCTCACCCGATCCTCTAGACACTCACCTTCTCTCTCTGAGTAAGGCTGACCCATTTGTGCTTGTTACTGAATTAAAATTCCAAGGAAAGACAGGCTGCAGGTTGTTCTCAAATAGGAAACACACATACACAGAGAACGAGGAGCCTTTGCCAGCATCCCAGGCAGGCCTCTTCCCCTCCCTGTGCCATAGCCCTGCAGTCCCTGAGCTGGCTGGCTGACCAGGCGGAGGAGAAGGATCTGGTAATGTTTCCTGTGGCCAAAGTGAGTGCCTCTGCTCCAGGCAGCCCCATCACGGCAGCCCTTCTAAGCAGGAAGGCTGGGGGGCGGGGGCCTGGAGGTGGGGGTGTTTTCAACATGAAGTCATTTCCCACAGCAAAGCAGCAGCCACGTTCTGCACGGTCCACTGGCAGTCTGGGATGTTTGCCCAGCACCAGGAGAGAGTCTAAAAATGCCCAAGCCCATCTTGGGATCTCAGGAGGCTGGCTGGAAGACAACACAGGAGTCAACCAATCCCAGAACAAACTGCCCACTCCACACTGAAGCCAGCTAGAGTGAAGCTCATCCCACTCTCCAAGGGCTCCACGTCCTGCTGGGTGATATGACGCCGGTACATAGACCACTGGCTGGAGCCCCTTAAGGGCAGGGCTTGCTCTTTCCCACGTCATGGTTTCCAGCACCTGGTCTTAAATAGATACAGCTACTTGGTATGTGTTAAACTGAGTTGAAAATTGGATTAAGTGTTGGGGGAAGGGGGGATAAAGAGTTGTAGGCACGCACAGGAGGATCCGCTTGCTGATGGTAAAGGCATCAGGAACATCTCCATAGAAGAGAAGGGTCTGAATTTTAGCCTAAAGTGTCCTTACTTGGAGAAAAGAAGGGAGCAGACACCTGGTTGGGAGCATGGTAGTGGGGACAGGTTCAAACAGCCATGAACAGATCACTCCCTACATCATTATGATAATTAAAGCAATGTATTGGGCTAGGCAGTATAATTGGCCATGTGGAATTGGCAGAGGGGCCATTGTAACAGACTAGGCATGGAATATATAGCATATGAAGAAATTAAGGATGCACAGCCCGCCAATGGGGAATTGATGAGTTATTCAACAAATGCAGTTGGGAAAATGGGCTAGTGGGGAGACAGAAAGTCAGTTCAAGCCCGACCTCAGACAGCGTACTAGAATAAGTGATGATAAGCTGCCCCGTTGGGCTCAGAATTGGAGATTGGGAAGGATTGAGGTACATATGAGACAGATCACCTTATCTATTCACCTGGTCCCCTGAGCCTCAGCAAAAGTGATTTTCTGTACCCAAGCCCTGTAGGAAGCCACCTCTGCTTCCTTTTCCCCAATATATATATATTTAATCATTTGTGTTAGAGGATGAGGATTTGTCCCATTCTCTCAACTGTTGGTATAACGGAAACCTAGGATGACATACCAGGAAGGGACCCTAGAAATTGTCCCATCCCCTTGTTTTATAGATGGAGAAAATGAGGCCCGGGGTAAAAAAAAAAAAAAAAAAAAAAAAAAAAAAGCCTTACTCAATGTTGCACAGCTAATTGGGAGCAGAGCCAGACCTGGACCACACTTCCCTGGCATCCTGCCCACTGCTCCTCTGCGGCCCTTTATCCTTTCCTCCTCACCCCTTTTCTAAGACCCACACTGCTTTCCTCGGGCCCTTCTGAGTTTCCCGTGGTGACCATGTTGCCTGGGGCCTGCACGCTGCAGCTTGACAACTCTTTTTTTTTTTTTTTTTTTTTTTTTTGAGATGGAGTCTTGCTCTGTCATCAGGCTGGAGTGCAGTGGGGTCCTCTTGGTTCACTGCAACCTCCGCCTCCTGGGTTCAAGTGATTCTCCTGCCACAGTGTCAAAAGTAGTGGGAATTACAGGCGCGTGCCACCACATCCAGCCAATTTCTTGTATTTTTTAGTAAAGACGGGGTTTCACCGTGTTAACCAGGATGGTCTCCATCTCCTGACCTCGTGATCTGCCTGCGTTAGCCTCCCAAAGTGCTGGGATTACAGGTGTGAGCCACCGTGCCTGGCCCTGACAACTCTTATTCAAGACAGCCTTGGGCTGCTGAGAGAGTGAGGATATCCAGCCTCCCTGGTCTCATAATGGGCCCCGGCCACCCACCCAGAACAGACTCTGCCCAGCTCTGAGCCTGGCTGGGGACTGGGAGCACAGACCACCTCTGGCTCTGGACTCAGAAAATCCAGTCCCTGTGTATTTCCCCCCCTACACTGGCTGAGTGACTGAACATGTCACCACTCTGGGCCTGACTGCTTTTCTTGAAAACAGGGACAATCAGACCTACCAATGAGAGCTGCTATGAAGATCAAATGAGTCAAGTGTGTGGAATCCTGCCTGATAAACTGCAAGGCACCATTCCAATGTAAAGCACTGGTCTCACCTAGAGCCCAACATGGGGCTACATGGAGACCAGCATCTATTGAATAACGGTAGAACAGTAGTTCTTAACTGGGAAGTGATTCTGATATCCCAGGGGATATCGTGCAATATCTGGGGACATTTTTGGTTGTCCCAATTGGATGGGGGTTGCTATGGCATCTGATTGGTGGAGGCCAGGGATACTGCTAAATATCTTGCAATGTAGAGGGCAGTCTCCACAGCAAAGAATTATCTGGCCCCAAATGTCAATAGTGCTGAGATAAATGGAAGTGTGAAATTACATCTGTAGGTACAGACATGGGCTGTCATTCCAGAAAGGCAAAGGAGCTGTGGGTGGGGAGCTGACCATCAAGGTACCACGGAGACCAAGAACAGGAACCACCCGGGATTAAATGAGATGCCCAGGTTTGATAAGTTGAAAACATTTTATTTCAATTCTATTCTTGGGAGGCAGCATAAATAATCACAGAAGACCACAAAGGTCAATGGGGAAGAAAAAAAAAAAGCTCCAGAAATGTTGGGAGGAGGAGATGAGTGCTGACACTGTCTAGCTGCGGGGTATGGGGTGAGGAGGCCCTACTGTAGCTGGCTGGGGGGAAGGAGGTTCTTAGAGGGGCGGCCCAGCTCACCTGGAGGGGCTTGGGTAGCCCTGGCCTCTGTGGATGGGATAGTCCATAGGGCAGCCACAGGAAAAGCAGGTGTGGAGTATAATGCGTCTAGTAGATCCTAGCTAATGAAAGAGAAGAGTGGACACCCATTTCTTGATTTCCAGATCTCACCCCAAACTGAGAATCTGCTGAGAACAGTGTTTACAAACTCTTTGTGGGCAGTGGGAAATGAAAGGAGGAAAAAAGAAGGAAGAAGAGAAAATGTGTACAAGATCAAATGAAATGTGGCATCTCGGAGGTGTGTGGCCTTGGGCCACTCCTCTCGGTCCCCTCATCTGAAGAAGGGTGTAGATGTGAGGCTCAGTGAGATCGTATGTGTCAAAGGACTGCAGAAACTTTAAAGTGCTATACGGATGCGAGAGGCTGTGGTCATTCTACGTGCATAAGGCTGAAAGTGGCTGAGATAGCGGTGCGGAGAGACACGTAGTGCAGCCCCAGAAGCCATCAGACCCTGGTCTGCCTTCCCCAGGGCCAAGCTCTACCCTTCTCAGCCTCAGCTGCCAGGAAGACGAGGCTTCATCTCAGATGGAGTGCCCTGGGGAGGGTGGTGGTGACAGCCGAGGGTGGGAACCTGAAGGACCTAGGGGCACAGAGCGTGAGGGTCCTCAACCGGGCAGTGTGGCACATCGGCACTACTGGTGCTGGGTAGACGGTAGCAGTGGCTTCCAGTTCTCATTCTCCAGAGAGACCTGGGCACTGGTGAAGCCCACCATGGGATTGGCATCTTGATGCAGCGGGAAAGGCCCTGGCCTTGGGGTCTGGACACCCAGGGTCCTGGCCGTGGGTCCACTGTTGACCTGCTGGGTGACTTTAGAAGTCACTTCCCCATTGCAACCCTCAGTTCTGTCATTTGTCAGACGGGGACACTAATCCCTACCCTGCCTGGCTCACAAATTGAATGGGAAAAGGGTGCGCAAGAGCTTGGAAGAGAATCATGGGGAAGGCAAGGGGTTATTATGGCCTTGGAGAGCAATCCTCTGAATTCCCTGAAGACAAGAGGGCGGGAGGGGAAGAGACAGAACGGAGCTGGGCGGCTCGCTGCCCTCGTCGGGTGAGGCAGGCTTCCGGGGCTGCTGAGGGAAGAGGGAGTGGGACCAAAGGGGGATCCCTGCAGCCCGCAGTCCAGCACTTACGCTGCGGTACCTTCGGTGAAGCTGCGAGCTCCAGGTGGGAGTGCTGAGATGTCCTGGCAGCCTCCTTCGCAGGGCGACAGTCCAAGTGCTCAGTCTAGCTGGTATCCTGCTTCCCCCTTTGCTTCCTGGTCCACTGAGATGGAGCCCCCCCCCAACCCCAGGGAGTCTGTAGTCTTCACCCAGCTGAGGGGAAGCCTGGCTCCTGGGGTGGCAGGGAAAGGCGCTGCCGGTGGGGGGTCTCCAGGAGAAGCTGGGGACTTTTATTAGCATGAGGTCAGGAGGTCAGAGGTTGGCTTCCAGTTCTGGAGGTGGTAGGCGGGGGTCCTCAGGCTGGCCCCCGCTCCCGTCCTGGCTCTGTCTCTGGGGTCACTGGATAAGGGAGAAGTTAAGGGACGAGTAGAAACGACGGAGAGATCGGCTTAGAAAACAGCCCAGCTGGGGAGCTAACAGTTCTTGGGGCTGTTGCGCAAGTTTTTCAGTTCCAGCTGGAGCTGCCGAATGCGGATGTCCTTCTGGGCCAGCTCCTCTTTCAACCGTCGAATCTCATCCTGCTGCCGGAAGAACATTCGAAGGAGCTGGGGTGGAGGGAGAGAGGGGCCAAGGAGGGCCCAGGAGAGAGCAGGTGAGACAAGGATTTCCCAGGTGAGTCTCCACCCGCCTGCCACCTATGCCCTCCCGTCGCCCCAGGCCTCCCACTGCTGGCTCCACGTATGCATCCTCAGTCACCCATCACGGTGGCACCTCTCCTGCCTCTAGCTCCGTCTGTGGCTCTTGCTTTCCCTTGTGAGATAGGAAGCAAACAAAACCTGAGTCATTAATTGATTCAGGATCACTGAAAAAGGAGTGACCAAAGAGTTCAGTTTTCCAAATATCCCAAGCTTGTCCCTTTCTGGGTCCTAACTTAATGCTTTTCTTTACCATTATATTAATAGGCATATTAATTATTAAATCTATAATACATACTAATAGATGTATCATTACAGGCACTACATGTATTATTACATTATTATTGATAATGTATGCATTTATTTAATTTTTGAGACGAAGTCTCACGGAGTCACCCAGGCTGGAGTGCAGTGGCGTGATCTCAGCTCACCGCAACCTCTACCTCCTGGTTCAAGTGATTCTCCTGCCTCAGCCTCTGGAGTAGCTGGGACTACAGGCATTTGCCACCATGCCTGGCTAATTTTTTTTTCTTTTAATTTTTTAGTAGAGACGGGATTTTACCATATTAGACAGGCTGGTCTTGAAGTCCTGACCTTGTGGCCTGCCCACTTCGGCCTCCCAAAGTCCTGGGATTACAGGTGTGATCCGCCACGCCCGGCCCATATTTATTTATTTATTTTTGAGATGAAGTCTCACTTTGTCTCCCAGGCTGGAGTGCGGTGGCATGACTTTGGGTCACTGCAACCTCGGCTTCCTGGGTTCAAATGATTCTCCTGCCTCGGCCTCCCGAGTAGCTGGGAATACAGGCATGTGCCACCGCACCAGGCAATTTTTGTATTTTTAGTAGAGACAGGGTTTTGCCATATTGGCCAGGGTGGTCTCGAACTCCTGACTTCAAGTGATCTGCCCGCCTTGGCCTCCCAAAGTGCTGTGATTACAGCTGTGAGTCACTGCACCCAGATTGTATTGATAATTTAGAGCTTTCTAAGATGCTTTGTATCCTTCTCTTCTTAAGGAGGCTCAGTATACAGAATGGAATCTAGCTTTTTTCCTTCTGATGAGAAACTGTGACAAGAATACCAAAGTTTGCACTGGGCAGGGATTCATGTGCTGGGTGGGCATGGGCAGTGCATAGCTCTCTTGGCAGATCTTCACTCAAACGACTCGCTGGTTTAATCCGCCTCCATTTCTCTTGTAAAACATACTGACAGATGCCCAAGAAATGCTGAGCCCTGGAAGGCAGCAGGCTCCTTGCAGCTCCTGCACACCTGAGTCAAATGTTACCCACAGTCAATTGTGTTTGGTCTCAAACCTTCTGGTGTGAATGACATTTGTTATTGTAATTGTGTAATTTAATGAAATATGATATAAAGTAATGAAATGAGCACAGAAAGAGAGTTGCTGTCTTTTCCTTCTTCCTTTCCTCCTCCCCTCCCTTCCCCTCCCCTCCTCTCCTCCCCTCCCCTCCCTTCCCCTCCCCTCCTCTCCTCCCCTCCCCTCCCTTCCCCTCCCCTCCTCTCCTCCCCTCCCCTCCCTTCCCCTCCCCTCCTCTCCTCCCCTCCCCTCCCTTCCCCTCCCCTCCTCTCCTCCCCTCCCCTCTCCTTCCCTTCCCTCCCCTTCCCTCCTCTCTTCTCTCTCCTCTTCTCTCTCTCCTCTCCTCTCTCTTTTCTCTTTTCTTTTTTGAGATGGAGTCTCCCTTTTCTTGCCCCAGCTGGAGTGCAGTGGTGCAATCTGGGCTCACCACAACCTCCACCTCCTGGGTTCAAGCGATCTCCAGCCTCACCCTCCCGAGTCGCTGAGAGTACCGGCATGCACCACCACACCCAGCTAATTTTGTATGTTTAGTATTTTAGTAGAAATGGGATTTTTCCATGTTGGTCAGCCTGGTCTCAGGTGATCCACCAGCCTTGGCCTCCCAAAGTGTTGGGATTAGAGGCATGAGCCACCGTGCCTGGCTGAGAGTTGCTGTTTCTATAAAACCTTAAATAAATGCTTTAGAAAATCTTGATAAAGGTGATACTAAAAAAGACTGCAGCTGAACTGGGTATGGAAGATCTGGTCCTAAAAGACTGGAGAATATTCTATGTCTTGACTGATGGTGGCTGCATGACTGCGTGTTTGTCAAAACTCTTAAAACAGCACACTACGAAGGATGAATTTTGCCATAGGCAAAGTATACCTCAATGTCTCAAAAGGAGATGAGGGAAAACATTGTAAAAACTAGAACTTGGCTTTCGGGTGGACTTTAAATTCTTTTTTTTTACCTAAAAGAAACTGAAACTGGAGGCCAGGCAAGGTGGCTCACACCTGTAATCCCAGCACTTTGGGAGCCCAAGGTGGGTGACTCATGAGGTCAGGAGTTCAAGACCAGCCTGACTAACATGCTGAAAGCCCATCTCTAAAAAAAGAAAAAAGAAACTGGAAATGGAAATGGGAGTTAAGGTGTGATTTGTGTGAAAGACATAGCAGATACCAACCAGGGAGGGCCTCCTGGAAGAAAAGGCCTTAGTCCTGCATCAAAATATGCAAAATGAATGTATATGTTTTATTTTCATTATTTATTTCTTTTTGAGAGTGTCTTGCTCTGTCACCCAGGCTGGAGTGCAGTGGCCTGATCTTGGCTCCACCTCCTGGATTCAAGCAATTCTCCTGCCTCAGCCTCCTGAGTAGCTGGGATTACAGGTGTGCACCACCACACCTGGATAATTTTTGTATTTTTAGTAGAGATGGGGTTTCAGCATGTTGACTAGGATGGTCTTGAACTCCCGGCCTGAGTGATTTACCTGCCTCAACCTCCCAAGGTGCTGGGATTACAGGTGTGAACCACCGCTCCTGGCCATGATTCCCTCCTTTAACTGACTTAAAAAAGTATTTTTAGTTAACCAACAAACCACCAGTCCCGATTACATCTGTTCAGAGGGATGATACGCTGTCTGCCTTTGCACTAAATGACTCTATACACTTTGTGTCTTCCAAGTTCTCAAAATTTCTTTGTACTGTTTTTTTTTTTTTTTTTTTTTTTTGGTCCACTTTTGTCAAAAAAAACTGCTTTATTAAGGTGTAATTCACAGACCATAAGATTCACTCATTTTAAGCATACAATTCAGCGATTTTTAGTAAAGTTATTGAATTGTGTAACTGTAAGTCTTTCCTCCTGCATCAAGCTGTCAGCTGTTTCCTCACACCTCGATCAACGTGTCCACCTTTGACAACACCATTTTCTTTTCTTTTCTTTTTTGAGACAAAGCTTCACTCTTCTTGCCCAGGCTGGAGTGCAATGGCACGATCTCAGCTCACTGCAATTCTGCCTCCCAGGTTCAAGCGATTCTCCTGCCTTAGCCTCCCAAGTAGCTGGAATTACAGGCTCCTGCCACCATGCCTGGCAAATGTTTGTATTTGTTTCACCATGTTGGCCAGGCTGGTCTTGAATTCTTGACCTCAGGTGATCCACCCACCTCAGCCTCTCAAAGTGCTGGGATTACAGGTGTGAGCCACCACTTTCCTTGGGGTTTATTTTAATGCAAATCCCATTTATCACATCATTTCATCCAGCCCTGAATCTCTCTCTACAATGGCATACAAGCATATTTTACATCGATTATCAAGTTACCTGCCAATCTCCCCCTTAAGACCGTGAGGTCCCAGAGATTAAGAAGAGTCTTATTTTTATTAATAATAGTGATAGCGGGCCAGGCATGGTGGCTCACACCTGTAATTCCGGTACTTTGCAAGTCTGAGGTGTGTGGGACACCTGAAATCAGGAGTTCGAGACCAGCCTGGCAAACATGGTTAAACTCCGTCTCTACTAAAAATACAAAAATTAGCTGCACATGGTGGTGCACAACTGTTCATCTCAACTACCCAGGAGGCTGGGGCAGGAGAATCGTTTGAACTTGGGAGGCAGAGGTTGCAGTGAGCCAAGTTCATACCACTGCACTCCAGCCTGGGCAACAGAGTGAGACTCCATCTCAAAAAATAATAATAATAATGATATCACAAGTTGGTGGTATCGATGGCTCCCATGTTATCCCCTCTCCTCCAGCATGGGCTGGCCCTAATAGCTTGCTTCAAATGAACAGAATAGGGCAGAAGTGGTGGGATACCATTTCCAAGATTAGATGACAGAAAGACTGTGGCTTCCATCTTGGGTGCCCTCTCTTGCTCTTCTGCTCACACGCCCTGTTGTGAGCTGCCTTATGGAGGAGTCCACATGGCAGGGACCCAAGGGAAGTTCTGGCCAACAGCCCAGGAGGAACTGAGGCCCTCAGTCCAATAGCCCCTGAGTACATGAGTCCTGCCAGCAACCACCCGAGTGAACTTGGAAGCAGATCCTTCCAAAGTTGAGCCTTCAGATGTGACTGCAGCCCCAGTGGACAGTGTAACTGTACCCTCATGAGAGACCTTGAGCCATGGGCATGCAAAGAAACTGTGAGTTAATAAGTGTTTGGGAGTTTCGGCCATTAAGTTCTAGGATAATCTGTTACACAGCAGTAGATAGCTGATACAGTTGACCTTTTTCTTTGAACACTAAATATGGGCCAGGAAGAGTGCTAGACACTTAGGAATTCTCTCTTTAATACTCATAGCATTTCATATCCCTGTTTTACCTCAAGGAAATGGACTTACAAAGGTCAGTCACAGCCAGGAAATGGCAGAGCCAGAATTCAAATGCAGGTGAGGCCAGGCAGCCATCTCCATTTCAGCGGTATCAGGCCTTATATCTGGCACACCAGAGGACACGGGGACAAGGCCCTGCTGAGCTGCCCCTGATAGAGCTTGCTCCTGTTCCAAGTGGTACAAAGAGCACCTTCATAAGAGCCAGTCTCTTCCTCAAAGACGGACAGTGTCAGACCCCGGCACTGCTGTAAACGCCAGGGAAGGAGAGGCAGGGCTGTGATGCAGGAGGCCAGGCTTGCCCCTGTTAGTCAGGAATTTATAACTCCTGGAACACCAAATGACAGCAACATTCTGAAATGAATTCATGAGATGCATAACTCTGTGGGTTAGTGAATTTGAGGTGTGGGGTTGGCGTGGGGAACCCATATCTCCAGACATCCCAGCTTCTATTGATTGGGGTCACAGCCATCAGAAGCCAATATCAGGCGACTTATGGCATTTGTCATGGAAAGAAAAATGTCTCAGAATGGAACCGGCTTAAAGGCCTGAAGCCCATAATTGAAATGTAAAGGTCTCGCTCTTCCAGGGCCTGTGGAGGTAATAACTTATATTCCTTACCTCGTTCTCTGTCCGGGGTGGGACATTTTCTAATAAATCTATTCCGTTGACCACAACACTCTTCTTTTCTTTGATGGGAGCCTTAAATACCATTTTTGAGGACTTCTTGTAGCCTTCTTTCAAAGACATCAGCACGGGATCTAAAGAAGGCAAGGGAAACGCTCTCACCGCTGATCCCATGGACTGTCAGGCGATGGTCCAGCGGGCTGGGCGGGAGGGACGTTCAAGCAGGGAGATAGGCAAGGGGGACTGGGGTGAGCTGCGCTGAAGGCAAAGGCATGGGCGTGCCTCCTGTCCTGGGTGGAGCCCAGCCCCTGCGGTACCTCGGTTGATGCCTCCCAGCCATTCATCCGGGGTCAGTGCTGGCTCCGTGCCTGGTGTCATGGGGTAAATGTCTTCCTGGTAGGAATCTGACTGCAGTGGGAGGAACAGGAGAGAGGACAGATGGGGGGCTGCTGGGAAAATCCCTACTCTTCAGTCAGACTCTTCTCACTGACCTCCAACCACGCTACCTGCTCTCCCACCTCCATGCCTTTGCCCTGTGTCTCCCTCCTGGAAACACCCTCCTGCACTCATGAGCAAGCCCAGTTGTCCCTGCCTGAGAATGCTCCTCACCCCAAATTGAGCTTGAAGACCCCAGTCCACAGCACATCTCTCACCTGGGCCTCTCCAGGCTCATGGTCAGTGGTGAGCAGGCTGGGATGCCACGCAGGCCCCCACCCCAGAGCCCAGCCCAGCCCCACTTACCCTCCGGGGCACAATCATGGAGATAGGCTCAATCAGGCCCTTGAGAGTCACCAGCTTGTAGAAGCGGAACACCTCGCAGGCTGACACATCCAGCCCGTGCTTGGGCATGACCCCTGTAACAAGTGGACATGGCTCCATGGGGTCCCAGGAACTGCCCCTCAGGGACATCACCCCATGATGTTCTGGGTCAGGGAAAAGGCTGAGGTATGTACTTAGGTTTGGAGGCAACAGCCCATGCAGAGGGCAGAGGATGGACTGGGGCTTCTTCAGTAAGGCTCTGTCTCTGGGTGGTCACCTCTCAAGCTCCTTAGGCCAGGCCTGCCTCACCACAGTGCAAGCTTCAGAACTGGACCCCTTGGGATTGGAAGAAACTGTAGAAACGTTTGAATCTAGCCCACTCCTTTTCTAGATGAGGGTCCAGAGAGGTTCAGAAGGCAAAGGGCTTGTGGGAAGTAGAAAAGTTCCTTTTTAAAGTTTCCTTTCTTGTTAAAGAGTAAGTGTGTTAATAACTTTGTTAAGCCCTAGCCTATGTCGCTGTTAGACATGCCATGCTTACAGGCACACGGTACATTCTGTGTCCTTGTACTTTAACCAAGATATCTTTGCTGGACGTGCTCACAGGCATGTCCCAGCCCTCCATTGCTTTTACCTGTTTAGAAAAGTTTTAAGTTGTTAGCCAATCGGGTTTTAGTTTAAATTGTGAGGGCTGGCTCCAGCCAATGGAGATCAGACACAGCAGTCAGGACGACCCCAAATGTGTAAGAAATAAATTTGTCTGTTTTCCTTTGTTCTTTGTACTCTCGTGGCAAGACGGCTAGTGAGAGTATCTTTCTTGCCGTCCAGGAAGTAAAAATTGCATTGCTGAAAGATCCTTTGTCTCAGTGCTGATTTTTCTTTGCGGCATCGAGCATCTCCATTTCCAACATCTGCTTCCAACAGGGCTACCCAAGGTCACAGAGCACAGCAGGGGCAGGGCCACAGAGCCCATCACCCTCTGAAATGGGCAGTCATCCCTAAACCTCCTGTGTCTCCAGGCCTGGGAGAGAAAGGAGGGAGGGGCCATTCCCCATACACCCTAGAGGTCTGGACACAGCCCAAGATTGCTGTTCTGTCCTGTGTCTCCTAGAACCACTGATGTGTGTGCATGTTGCCTGTGTGGGTTCACTAGCCACGTATCCCTAACAGCCACCTCTGCTGAACATCTATTATGGGGATGAGGGGCAGTGTAGTACTAGGAGCACAGCTCTAGGGTGGACCAGTGGGGTTTGAATCCTGACTCTGTCCCCTTTCCATCTGGGAGTGCTTTGGCAAGTCAGAACTCTCTGAGCTTCTAGTTCCTTGGCTGGGTCGAGGAGGACAATAGTGGCCCCACATGAGGTGGTCAGGAGAATATGTACCAAGATGCTCATTAACTGCCTGGCACTGTGACGAGCACAGACAACATGCGTTTCTTTCCCTGTATTGTGAATAGGAGTTAAGGCTCTGTCTGTCCCCCACTGGACTGGAAGCCTGCTCTTCTAGATAAAGGAACTCCAGGAGCTAGAGGGAAGGGGTGAAATGGTTGCCCACATGGGATTCGGAGCCAGCAGATTGGGTTTGAGTTCTGTCTCTGCTACTGAGCAGACACGACCTGCCTCGGGTGAGTTGCTTAACTTCTCTGAGTCTACAAAAGGTGCCTAGGTCACAGCAAATGCTCAACAGTGGTCACAGGTGAGGAGGATGAGGATGAGGATGAGATGAGTCAACCTGAGTCCTTCCTCCTCTCCTCTCCACCCCTCCATAGCCGATACCTTAGCAAGTCCTGCTGATGCTGCGTTCTAAACATCTCAGGATTCATCCGGTTCTCTCTATCTTCCTTCTGTCCACCTATTATCCTCTCTTGCCTGAAAGTCTACAACTGCTTCCTAACTGATTTTCCTGCCTTCCTCCTGCCCCTCCCAAATCCATTCCATTCGCCCTACCAAAGCCAGAGCAATCTTTTTTTTTTTTTTTTTTTTTTTTTTTTAAGACGCGGTTTCACCATGTTGGTCAGGCTGGTCTTGAACTCCCAACCTCAGGTGATCCACCCACCTTTGCCTCCAGAGTGCTGGGATTACAGGCGTGAGCCACCACTCCCAGCCCAGAGCAATCTTTTTTTGTTTTGTTTTGTTTTGTTTTGAGACAGTCTGGCTCTGTTGCCCAGGCTGGAGTGCAGTGGCACCATCTCTACTCACTGCAACCTCTGCCTCCCATGTTCAAGCAATTCTCCTGCCTCAGCCTCCCAATAGCTGGGATTACAGAGGTGTGCCACCACACATGGCTAATTTTTGTATTTTTAGTGGAGACAGTATTTCATCATTTAGCCAGGCTGGTCTCAAACTCCTGATCTCAGCTGATCTACCTGCCTCGGCCTCCCAAATGGCTAGGATTACAGGCGTGAGGCAGCGAACCCGGCCACCAGAGCAATCTTAACTAATATTTCAGATCACATCATGCTGTCTCGTTCCCACCCAAGAAAAAGAAACCTGCCACAATGATTTCCTAATCAATTGCAAGCTCCTTTTCCAGGCTAACGCATCCCATGGATTCAGCCGCTGCCCGTCTCTCTGTCTCCTGACACTCCCCCATCTCTTGCAATATCATAGAGTCTACCCCAGGCTCAGCCACATTGGCCTCCCTTCTGTTTCTAGAATATGCTAGGCTCATTCTGGCCACAAAGACTTTGCACTAACCATGCCCCCTGCTGGGGCTGCGCTTTCTCTTTCAGATCCCAACTTAACATCTCATCGTCACAGAGAGGCCTTCCTTGACCACCTGTCTAAAGCAGCCCCCAGTCACTCTCTGTTCTAGCCCACCATTTGACTCTCTGCCTAGAACTCATTCCTGTCCAATATTTCTCTGATTTGTTTATTGCCTGTCTCCCGCTCAGTGGAATGTGAGCCCCACGGGAGTAAGGCCATGCTCTGTTTTACTTGCCACTGTAACCTTAGGCTTAGTGCCGGGTCTGGTACACAGTTGGAACTCAGTAACTGTTTGTTGAACACCTATGTGAAGGAGCAGGAGGAGCCAAGTGCTCTGCCAGGTGCCTTGCACAAACCTACCTTCAAGGTATTTGATTATCCCCATTTTACAGATGAGGAAACTGAGACTTAGAGGGATTCAGTGCACACTTTGAGCGAGAATATAAACCCAGGTCTGACCGCATAGTCCAGGCTGATTTTTATACTATTTGATGCAGAGTGACAGTGGAGGTGGGGATGACAGCGTTGGGGACGGGTAAAGTGGAGGGAATGGTGATTGGGACCTCAGACATCTCTTGGCTTCCATTTTGCTATTGGTCACTGGAGTGGGCTCTTAGCCCCTTTCAGCTCCAACGTCCCTGAAGCTGGCCTTCCAGCTCTGTCCTCAACACCAGATCCACAGGGAAAGCAAGCTAGACTCCAGCTCCAAAGAGGAGGATCACCCACAAAGGTGGGAACAGGGGGTGGGAGGACTCTGATCACAGATGTTTCACTGGATGATCTGGACCCCAAATGTGGAATTGCTGAATCATATGCACTACCAGGTTGGTTCAAAGAAAGGAAAATTGTTTGTAAGACTTTTCGTGGTGGGAGAACGTGAGGACTCACTTTAGCCTGCCAATCCCGGAGCCCTCTCTGGGTTTCTGCCTAAGAGTCTAGGGAGCTTGGGGCTGCAGTCACAGGAACCCCTGGAACTCTTCCTGCCCTATCAGGCAGACAGAGTTGCTGCTGGGGTCTGGGAGTCCCAGCTTCCTAGAGGCTCAGGAAGGGACCTGTGCCCAGACCCCACTCTGACCTGCAGTTACTGGACCATTTCCCACCATTGTCATAGCCACTGTGGGCTTCAGGCTCCCCATATTCGATCAGGAGTGCAGACACAGAGCACATGCCGGCAGGCTACTGCTGACAGTGGGTGTGAGCATGGCGGGGTGACAGCACCGGTCCAGGGGGTAGTGACAGCTGCAGCAGGGCCGGCTCTTGCAGGTTCTGTTCCCACTTGCCCGTAAGCTGTGGCCTTCAGAGTCTGATTTTCTACTTAAGGGAGAGGGTGACCCACGGGCCAGATATCCTCCAGGGCACGAGTGTACCAGCCATGGCAGCCTCAGGCCCCTTACCTAGGCCTTTCTGCGGGGCTGGGGAGCGGAACTCCATGAGGTAACTCAGGTAGGGCTTCTCAGTGCTGATCTCGTAGTACCGGATGTTTCCATCGCCCTGTGGTCAGGAGAGATGGAGGTGAGGAAGGTGGCAGGAAGGGAGGGCAGAGCAGGGCCTGGTGCCAGGAGCCAGCTGAAGACAGTTCCCCACTGTGCTTCATGGGTGGTTAAAAAAAAAAAAACAGAAGAGGGAAACCTGGCTTCTAGGTTCCTAGTGGGTTTGCCACAGTGGACTCCCTGAGGATGGAGAGGTGGAGGTGGATGGGCTGATGTGTGTCGGGGCGGGTGTAGACAGCCTTTCTGACAAACAAGGCTATATTCACCAAGGCTCTCCTGGCAGGTATCTCAAATCCCACCATTCATTGCTGACTACCCTTCAGGCTCTGATCTTTCCAGTGTAAGAGCCCACTCCAGCTCACCCTTGAGGGAATTCTTGGTTGCAGACGTTTCAGTAAGAATGGGTGTCAGATGTGAGGGCAGGTGTGGATGGGAGAGGTGAGGCCCAGGAACCTAAGTTGGGTCGGGGGACGCCAGAGAGGTTAGGCTGGCTGTTGTCAAGGGGGTGGGGCAGAGGCAGGGGTGCAATGAGGGATGGGCTCTCCCACAGGCTGCGCTGGGCCCTCCCCCACCTCCTACTACCTTTCCAGCCAAGTAGAGCATGTGAGTGTCAGCATCATAGAAGGGGAACAGGAGGCCAGAGAGTCCATCAATTTCCTCTTCGATCAGGGGCATGGACAGGTCTTCCTGAGGGAGAGGAGCTGGTCTGAGACTCTATGGAGGCAGGATGGCATGCCCCTCCCCAAATCCCAGCAAGGCCCCTTAGGACTGCAACTACTTCATGCTAAGCCCTCCCCAGATGTTAAAAAGCCAGTCCCATGGGTAGTGGTGAGACTGACTTCCTTGTCACGAAAAGCAGCCAGGGGTAGTGGAAAGGGTCTTACAAACAGGAGGCAGGGGACTAGCTTTCATTGTCCCCAAACCTACTACTTGCTAGGTGTCCCTAGGTAGGTCTCTGATCTCTCTGGAGCTCAGCCCCCACCCTGGAAAAAGAGAGTGAACATCTTGCAAATATGGCTGACATTGTGCCTTGAAGCCTCCGTACCCAACCAAGCTCTGCCTCTGGGGGTCTCTGTCTGATTTCTCTGCTGTCAGAAGCTGGTGTGCGGGCCCAGGCTCCTGACTTTCTGAGCAAGTGACCTCTGAGGCAATGATGCTTCCTTTAGCCCATACCCAGCAGGCCTCCCCATGGCTGACCTGGTCCCAGAGGGCAATCTGTCTCGTGTTCCACCTGGAGACCCCTGTCGTGAGGAGCCGCTTCATGTTTCCCAGGAACACCACCCGGTTCACTCTGTGGTTTTTGCAGTTGGCCTCCTGGTAGGAACAGAGGGAGGTGGTGAGCCAGGGTCCCCAGGATGTGGGTACTGCCGTGGGATGAATGGTGGCCCCCAAAAGATATACTCATATCCTCAGCCCTGGCCCCTGCGATTGTTGCCTTATTTGGAAAAGGGTCTTTGCAGATGTGGTCAGGCTAAGGATTTGGGGATGAGATGACCCTGAATTGTCCAGGTGGGTCCTGGATGCCATCATGAGTGTCCCTGTGGGAGAGAGGTAAGGTTACGCAGACAGGGAGAAGGTGGCATGACCCTGGAGGCGGAGACTGCAGTGACGTGGCCACCAGCCACTACAGCTGGCAACCCCCAGAAGAGGCAAGGAACGGGTTTTCTCCTAGAGCCTCCATAGGGAGGACAGCCCTGCTGACACCTTGATGTGGGATATCAGGACTCTGGAATGGTGAGAGAATACATTTCTGTTGTTTTCAGCCCCCTAATTTGTGGGCGTTTGCTACAGCAGCCACGGGACATTAAGTACTCGGCAGCAATGGCTCCCCAGATGCCTTTTCTGCCATTTCCCAGAGCAAGTGGGGAACAGGGAACCAGAGGGGAGCCAACCTCCACCCAGTCCAGTTCGGGGCTACACCACGCGGAGCTCTCACCAGCGGCAATGCTTTTAATCCTCGTAACAGTATCTACCGGAAGAAATCATTATCCCCATTTTTGAGGATGAGGAAACTGAGGCTCAGGAGGACAAGAGATTCATGCCAATTATTGCTCCACAACTCACCTCATCAGGGAGTGTCTCCTTAACTGAGCTGTCTTGGGCCTCCTCTCCCACCCACTGGCTTGTGACACTTGATTTCCCCCAACACGCAATAGTCCTCAGCATCAGGTAAGTTGGCAGCAGGTCGGAAGAGAGGCTAACGGGGCGGTGCACAGGTTCAGGCTGCTGTCACTCACTCTGAACTTTAGTTCTAGCTCTGTCAAAGACGTGCAGCCCGAGAGAAGACCTTCGCCTCCCCCGGGCTCATGGCCCTATCTGTGAATTGAAAGCGGGGTTCTCTGTTTGCAAGCATCCTTTCTGTATGGCTTAGGCCCCGGGTTCGAATCCCAGCTTTTCCGGGAACTGTGAGATTCAAGTCTCCCACCTTCGCTAAGGTTCAGGGTTCTCATGTATAAAATGAGAGGAGTCACAGTGCCCAGCAGAGAGGGTTGGCCTGAGGATTAAGACGTCCTGAGACAATGTGCAGAGCCCTGGGCACAGTTCGGGCCACACAGTGAACTCTTAGCAGACGCCAGTGAACACTAATCATGCTAGCAACTCTCAACATTCTTATTTGTGGTAGGACAGGTTGAGGAACCCTCAACTGAAACGCTTGGGACCAGAAGTGTTTCGGATTTTGGGTTGTCTCAGATTTCAGGATATTTGCTTTATACCTACTAGTTGAGCCCCCCTACATTCCAAAATCCAAAATCTGAAATGTTCCAATGAGCATTTCCTTTGGGTGTTATGTCAGTGCTCAACACGTTTTGGATTTGGAGCCTTTCATATTTTGGATTTTTGGATTTGGGATGCTCAACCTATAGTAGTAGATAACTTTCCAGTCTTGCAGCATTGGACTATTCCAAGATAAACACACCCAGATCAAGCATCACTCCCTTCTTATGCAGAAGGCAAACCTCAAATACCATCCATTCCATCCCTCCCCATGACCAGCACACAGCAGGTGCTCAAAAAATGGTAATTGTTGGCCGAGTGTAGTGGCTCACGGCTATAATCCCAGCACTTCGGGAGGCTGAGGCAGGCAGATCACAAGGTCAGGAGATCGAGACCAGCCTGACCAACATGGTGAAACCCCATCTCTATAAAAATACAAAAATTAGCCAGGCCTGGTGGCACGTGCCTGTAATCTCAGCTGCTCAGGAGACTGAGGCAGGAGAATCAAGGGAACCTGGGAGGCGGAGACTGCAGCGAGCAGACACTGTGCCACTGCACGCCAGCCTGGGTGACAGAGTAAGACTCCATCTCAAAAAAAAAAAAAAAAAAAAGGTAATTACTTACTCCCAAATGGCACTTCACCCCTTCCTTTCCTCAAAACCAAGACCCCGGAGATTCAAAGACCAAAAGTGGAACTAAGTTCACCATCAACCTTGGGCACCCCAAGCCGTTTCCCCCAGGCTCATCCCATCAGGTGGCTGGGCAGTGAGTCCAGTGTCTCCCCGTCCTGTGCCTATCACGAACTTGGTTAACACTTGGGGATGTACGCACTGAAGGGTGTCATCTATTCAGTCCCCAGAGCAAGCCAGAAGAATCCCCTCTGGAGATAGGGGGTGCAGTGGGGAGAGGAATGGGTGCGAGGTCCCTCCCTATCCAGTACAAGGCAGGGTTCCTATGAGCCTAGAAGGGCCCAGGAGAGAAAAAGGTTGTTCACCAGAGGTGCAGTGAGATGCATGGCAGAAGAGGACTGGCACAGCCTTTTCCTCCAGGCCTGCTGAAAGCTGAGCCCCAGCCCTCAAAATCTTCCCCTTCAATCTCAAAAAAATGTAGGGTTCCACCTGCAGAACGCGGCCAGAGCGGGGCTCGATCACACGCAGCTTCTTGTCCTTGCACGTGGTGGTGAGCAGGCTGCCGTCCGTGTTGAAGGATATGCAGAGGATCACGTCCGTGTGGCAGTCGATCATCTTCACTGGCTCGCCCACATCCAGGTTCCAGATGAGGACCTGCGAGGGCAGACGCGCAGGGGGTGGGGTCAGTGGCTGCTGGGGGCCAGGGATGTTTGTCCCCCATCCACGCAACTGCCCTGGGGGAAGCGCCCCATGGAGGGCCTGGGGTGTGCTGGGATGCAGGATGGGTTGTTGAGTTCTATATGGAAAGGCTGACACAGCCCTGTCACACAAACCCATCAATATCCTTGGTCAGATGCCAGCCCCAGCCTGGGCTCAGCTCATGGAAGAGCAAGAAGGATACCTGTTCCTTGCTAGGTCCCAGGTGGTCAGCTCACCATTTTTGAGGACGTGCCTGGGGCTAGGGGCTGAGGCTCCCTTTTTCCCTCCAGAAGCTTTGGTTACCCCTTTTGCCACCTCTTAGTTAAGCAGTGGCCAGGCAAAGGGTGTGGGCTGGAAGGGGCTTCTCCAGTCCACCAACCACCACAGAAGGCAGAAAAGATGCCTCTGACCTCTGTGGACCCCAGGAATGACAGGGTGTACAGGAGATGCTCAGCTGCGTGTAGTGAATGAATGAATGAGCTAATGAACAAATGAGGCAATATTGGTTGCTTAGGAAATAACAGTGCTTCCTATGGGCCCCCAAAAGGCCCCCTTCTCTTTCCCAATCCCTTTCTACCCAGCTGCCTGCCCACTGCGTACCTTGTAGTCATAGCCAGCGCTGAATAGGATGTTGTTGGTGGTGGGGTGCCACTCGACCAGCCCCACACGCCGGCTGTGCCCATGCAGCTCTAGGAGTGCCTCCGTCATGTTCCGCTTCAGACCACCCTCAGGGATCTCCCAGATCCGCACCTGCAGAGGTGGGTGAGGGTCCAGGCTGAGTGGTCAAGGCCAGGAGGGCCCTTGATGAGAGGTGCCCCTTCTCTTGAACACCAGGCTTTCTGAGATGTGCCTGGTGAGGCACCTCCTGGCTTGCAGTGGTGGGCAAAGCCCAACTGGGGCCTGCTGGGAGGTCTCAGGGTGTGGCCAGAGCGGAGAGAGACCATCTCTCCGCCTGTGGGAGGTTTTCTCTGGGAAGTCTCTGCAGACCTGAGAACTGTTATGACTGCATGTTGCTTTTGCTGTGGCCTAGCCCGGCTAGGAAGAACATGCATGAGGCCCTTGGAGCGGGTGTTGTATTAAAAAGCCTATCCTTGCTTCACACGCCACATCCTTCTAGGAGACTCTGCCTTTCTGCTACTCTGCTCAGCCCCACTTTGGCTGTTTGAACCACATGGCCTTACCTCCGACTCTGTCCCCTACCCAGGATGGACCCCTGAGCAGAGGGAATTGCATCCAGGAGGCTGGGAGGCCCTGGGTCTCTCCTGAGAGATGGTGGACTGCGGGACAGAGACCGATCAGATGTTGGGGCCTGAGCTGAAAGGATGGGGAGAGCCTGGATATAGCTGCTATTTTCAGTCATGTGGATGCTGATAAAGAAGCAGAAAAAGATGATCTGCAGAGAGGAGGATGGGACATGCAGAGAGAAGCAGAGAGGAGACCATGTGGCCCCAGAGAGAGAGACTGAGCAGTTTCTCTGCAATCTTGGAATCACCCCCCTGATTATTTACATCAGCCCTGGTAGGCTTCTGCCACTCAAACCAAACCTCCTCTGCATAGCTTCAACTGTTTCATCCATAAGGCGGGCAGGGGGTGGGGAACTTCCCTGCCCTGCTTCACCTACTGGCAGAAGAAAAAGACACAGTGGTATAACAGCTGATAAACTGCAAAGTGCTCTAAAGGCCTAAGGAATTACAAAAGTGTTATTATCATTAATATTACTCATTAGCGTCTAACTGGTTGGAGAGGAAAGAGCACATGTGACTGTAATTTGGGACACCTTAAATAAAAAAAAGAACCTTTCAGCCTGAGCAACACAGTGAGACCTTGTCTCTACCAAAAAAGAAGAAAAAAAAAAAATTAAAATTAGCCAGCCGTGGTGGCGCACGGCTATAATCCCAGTTACTCGGGAGGTTGAGATGGGAGGATTGCTTAAGGCTGGGGTTGGAGGTTACAGTGAGCTGAGATCCACTGCACTGCTGCTTGGGCAACACAGCAAGACCCTGTCCCAAAAAAAAAAAAAAAGCGAAACCCAAAAGCAGTAACACGAAAAAAATCCTTTTGAAAATCTGAACTCCACCCCTCCTAGTAAAGAGAAAAACAGGAAAAACAGCTTTGAGATACCATTTATAATCTGCTAAAATAGCCAACCAAAAAAATAAAAAGAGTCAGTGTTGGCAAGATAATACTGGAAGTTATAGATTGAATCGATGTTGGTAGTATTAATAAATCAGAGTAACTCTTTTGGAAGCAATTTGGCAATCTTTAGTAGGAGCCATAAAGACATTTATATTATAGTCTTTGACCCAGTAACTCCACTCTTAAAAGACAATATAAGCAAAAATCTCCATGCATGAAGATGTTCACTGCGACATCATTTATACGGAAAACTTAGAGGCACTGTAAGTGATCAACATTAGGGGAAAAATGTAATACATCACAACAATATGTTATGCTAGTCAATTGATTATAATTCCAAAGGCTATGAATAAATACAAAAAGCATGTTAAAGAAAGCCAAGGCCAGGCGAGGTGGTTCACGCCTGCAATCCTAGCACTTTGGGAGGCCAAGGCAGGAAGTTCACTTGAGCCCAGGAGTTCAAGACCAGACTGGGTAACATAGTGAGACCTCACCTCTACAAAAAATTGAAACAATTAGCCAGGTGTTGTGACATGCACCTGCAGTCCCAGCTATTCGAGAGGCTGAGGTGGGAGGATTGCTTGAGCCCAGGAGTTCAAGGCTGCAGTGAGCTATGAACGTACCATGCACTCTAGCCTGGGCGAGCCTCTGTCTTAGAAAAATAAAAAAAAAGGAAGAAAGCCAAAGGCAGACCAGAGGTCCTGGGAGCAAAGCTAGGAACTGGGGTGATCAGGGGAACTCAGGGAATTCCTCAGACAAATTTCCCTTCTTGGTGCCTACTCCTCAGACTGGAAGAATGGGCATTTTCCTCACATGTGTTCCCCAACACAGCCAGCTCCTGTGCCTGTTGACTGGGAGGTTTCAGGGTAAGAAAGACAAGCTCTGTCAAGGGCTTGGGGTCACCCTTGGGTGTGCCATTCTGTTTCAGTAAAACCATGTCAAAAACCCACTTGAGAAGAAGTGGATAATTAGGGGAGAGTCTGAAATACTTTCCCATCCTCATTATCATCCCCTTTGGTGGTTCCAGCTCTCTAGCAAAGTTAACACTCCCACCCCGTTCTGCCAGATAGTGTGGGGGGTGGAATTGGGGGAGGGGAGAGATGTGTAGGGGCCCAGAATACCTTCTTTCCTCAACAGCCCCTGCACCAGGGCATTCAGGGATGAAGACTGCTCTGGAAGTGGCTGAGCGGGTGCAGGGGCAAACAGCTGCTGAGTACATAACTCCGTAGCCACCAATAAAACACATTCCTTCTGCCCCAAACGGACTGCAGAAAGGTGACCCTAAAATTAAGAGACTAATGCTCGGGCTAGACACCCACATATCGCAGACATGGACACATAAACACATCTCTTCCTTTTCACCCAGAAGAGATACAATTACACCTGTTCTTTTTCAATCTGCTTTTCTCACATAATAGGCAGTGGCCATCTTTCCACACCACCCCATGAAGACCTACCTTACTTTTTAAGTGTCCAGGGAAGCATCTGTTGTATGACTGTTCCATGATTAATATAATCAACCTTTATTAATTTACGTCTAAGTTCTGTTCACATTTATTTATTTATTTATTTATTTATTTATTTTTGAGTCAGAGTCTCACTCCGTCACCCAGGCTGGAGTGCAATGGTGCGATCTTGGCTCACTGCAACCTCCACCTCCTGGGTTCAAGCATTCTCCTGCTTCAGCCTCCTGAGTAGCTGGGATTATAGGCTCGGCTAATTTTTGCATTTTAGGTAGAGACGGAGTTTCACCATATTGGCCAGGCTGGTCTCTTGGCCAGGCTGGTCTCTTGGCCAGTCTGGTCTCGAACTCCTGATCTCATGATCCACCTACCTTAGCCTCCCACAATGCTGGGATTACAGGTGTAAGCCACAGTGCCCAGCCCACTTTTTTTTTCATGGCTACAATTCATTCTAGGACGAACATGCTCATAATAGGAGTTTGTATATTAGTGTGGATATTCTTGTAGGAAAATGTCTAGAAGTGTTTCAAATTTTTTATAGTTACTGTAAAATTGTCCCCAAAAGCTGTCCCAGTTTTTAACCCACAGAGTCTGAGACTGCTTCCTTATGCCTCTAAAACTACACCTCTAAAAAACTGGCTTTTTACCCATCTGATAGGTCAAAAATGCCACCTGTTGTTTGGATTTGTGTTCTTTCCATTCTTAGAAACGCTGAGGACAGGCTCACATTTGTAATCCTAGCACTTTAAGAAGCCTAGGCGGTAGCTGGTTGTGGGGGCGTTTGCCTGTAATCCCAGCTACTCAGGAGGCTGAGGCAAGAGAATCGATTGAATCTGGGAGGTGGAGGTTGCAGTGAACTGAGATCGCACCATGACACTCCAGCCTGGGCAACGGAGCGAGACTCTGTCTCAAAAAACAAGAAGACTAGATGGGAGGATTGCTTGAGCGCAGTTCAAGACCAGCCTGGGCAACAGAGTGAGGCCCCATCTCTATAAAAAAGTGAAAAAATTAGCCGGACATGGTGGCATGTGCCTGTAGTCCCAGGTACTGGGAAGGCTGAGGCAGGAAGATTGCTTGAGCCCAGGACGTGCTAAGTGAGCTATGACAGTGCCACTACACTTTAGTGTGAGTGACAGAGTGAGACCCTGTCTTCAAAAAAAGAAAGAAAAAAAAAATACTGAGCATCTTTTCTCACGTCTACTGGTTACTCTTGCTTGCACTTGAGTAGGAAGCTCTAAAGCTTTCAGATTCAAAGGGATGAGCTATTTGAGGGCAGAGGATTCTGTCTAGGGATGTCTCATACTGTACCTTGAGTCAATAAACATTGAGGCAGAAGAGTTGCCTCTTGCCATCAAGAAAGATCTTTGAAACCAAAAGTTGAGCCTCGTTAACTCCGCTATCACTTCCCGAGGGCCTCCTGCGAGCCTGCGGGGTGTGGTGCTGAGCTTGCCCATGCCCGCTCTTGAGGAGCACAAAGAGGTGCCCACAGACAGCCTGCGGAGGCACAGAGCTGTTGGAAAGCTTGAACCATCTGTTAGGGGGACCAGGGTGGGAGGGTCTGGGAGAAGCAGTGGTGGAAGGGAGGACATTAAGCTAAGTTTGAAAAGACAGGTTGAGATGTTGGAAGGGGTGAGGAGGCAAAACAATGCCCAGCATGCGAGGGGTCAGGCACAGCAGGTAGGGAAACTGCACGGGGTCAGCCTGGCTTGTGTGGAGCAGTCTGGCTGGTGCCAGAGAAGGCCAGAGGTCATGTGTGTCACATTTCGTCACTGAGGCTCAAAGAAGCCCTGCTTCGGCCCAGAGTCTCAGAAAAAACTCTTTCCCAGGACACCCTAATTCCTGAGCAACCCAGTAACTGAGGCATCTCTGAGTTACACCCATGCCGGGGTAAAGTAGCGTCACACGGGGGGCTGTGGTGTAAGCTCCAGCCTAGGCTCTAATCCCATTTACTAGCTGGGTGACTTTAGACAAGCCACTTACCCTCTCTGAGACTCAGGCTCCTCATCTGCACCTGTTAGAGGTGTGTGGGGTCAATTAAACTGGGTGCCTCCGGAGCCCTGGGGAGCGTGAAACCTTCTAGACACGTGAGCTGACTTGCTGGGGTGACAGCTCTGCCTAGGAGCCTAGGGGCTAAGCCCAGGGGATGGGGGG